TTACTTTATCTGAGAAGCGTACAACTGCACCTTTTCAACTTATTCATTCTGACCTATGGGGTCCTACTGCTGTTCCTTCATTTGTTGGTTTTCGCTATTATAGTTGTTTTGTGGATGATTTTACAAAATACACTTGGTTGTACCCACTAAAACATAAATCACAGGCATACACCACCTTTGTCACTTTTGAAAAAATGGTCAAAACACAATTCAATTCTCATGTTAAGCTTTTTTGAAGTGACAATGGAAAGGAATATGTAAATAACATCTTTGGCCAGTTTCTGCAATCCCTGGGAATTATACATCAAACCTCCTGTCCATACACTCCCGAACAAAATGGGGTGGCTGAGCGTAAGCATCGCCATCTCATTGAAACGGTGGTTACTCTTCTACATCAATCTCATCTCCCTGTCTCCTTTTGGGTAGAAGCTCTAGCCACCACAAACTACCTCATTAACAGAATGCTCAGTCACACCCTCTCCAACAAATCACCCAATCAACTCCTTTACCAAGAACTTCCCAATACCAACCTCCGCGTCTTAGGGTGTATTGGCTACCCTTGGCTACGCCCTCATATTACTCACAAATTACAACCCCGATCCCGTCCTTGTATTTTTTTGGGCTATCATCCTACCTCTAAGGGTTATAGCTGTCTTGACCCACAAACTCATAAAGTCTACATATCTCGTCATGTCAAATTTGTCGAAAATGAGTTTCCCTACGAGTCTATTTCCCTCTCCACAAATACATCATTCATTGGCGTCCTTTTCCTTTTTCATCATACTCACAGGGTCCCTCACCACCTTCCCCCACACCTCCACCCACTACCCAACCACCCCTCATCACCCCTTCGACCGTCACCCACAATACACCCGCAACCATCACCCACACTCACAACCAACCCGAACTACCCCATACCCCGATCCGTTTTGGGTCCTTCCCGGCCACCCCTGAATCACCACCGCCCATGCCACCCCCAATACTCATCCCATGTTAACCCGTGGCAAAGCCGGTATCTTTAAACCCAAAACCTTTCAGGCTATCATACTACCAAATACACCCCTTCCCGATAGTGAACCAACAACCTACTCTGTTGCCTCAAAAAATGCTTATTGGCGTCATGCTATGGATGACGAGTTTAAGGCTTTGACTGATCAGAAAACTTGGGTTCTTGTACCTAAGCCCTATGGGCGGCACCCAGTGGGTTGTAAATGGGTGTACAAAATTAAACACAATGCAGATGACAGTATTTCCGGGTACAAGGCTCGTTTGGTTGCTAAAGGATAAAATCAAGAGTATGGGCTTGATTACTCCGAGACATTCAGTCCTGTTATTCGGTAGGAAACCATTCGCCTGGTACTGTCACTCGTCGTGCGCAACAATTGGCTCATCAATCAGTTGGATGTTTCCAATGCTTTTCTTCATGGCATGCTTGATGAAACTATCTACATGACGCAACCACCGGGCTATGTTGATCCCCTTTTCCCTCAACATGTTT